GGAAACTCAGTGTGGTAGCCCCCAGCCAGGCCCTGCTGTCCAGGCCCCCAGCTCCTGGGGTGCACCAGAGTCAGCAGATTTACAGCCACAAAGGATTCGTTCCCCCACCGCCGCCCTGACCATGGGGCCTGGGTCCACATCACCTCCAGGAGAAGGGACTCTGCAGCTGGGCTAAGTAATGGACCCTGAGGGGGTCGTCCTGACTACCCTGGACCCAACATCCCTCAGAGTCCCCTGAGCGGGTGAGAGAGGGTAAGAAGCTGAGAGAGGCTGAAGACGGTGCTGCCAGCTCTGCAGATGGAGAGGGGGGCTGCAAGCCAAGGGCTGCAGGCGCCTCTAGGAGCCAGGACAGGGACTGGGTTTTCCCGGAGCCGTGGGAGGAGCAACCTCACCACCTGCACCTGGATTCCACCCTGGGAGGCTATGTGATCACTTTGTGGTTTCTTACAGAAGCCATAATATTACCATGCACGAGGAATTCCCAGGGCGGCTGTGACCAGTAGATCCTCAGAGGGCATGACACTGAGGGGTCCTTGCAGGTTGTGTAGGAGCTTGTCCCAGCCGAGGTAGGAGAGCCCAGTAGAGCGCCTCTCTTTCCAGCCCTTTAGCTCCTGTAGGAGTTGCATGCTCTCTAGGCTGGTGCTGCCCCTTTGCCCTGGCATGGGGCCAGGGTGACAACATTTCCTCCCTGCCAGGAAGTGCAGAGCAGAAGTGACAAGAGCCACGGGGGCTGTGTCTCCCTGCCCCTCTCCCAAGATTACAAACTCTCACATGACCGCGGTCACCCCCCTGGCCTGTGAGCCAAGAGGGAGCAGAGCCACCCCCGCTAGGGCCAGGGGACAGACAGCAGCCTTTTCTCCTGCTCCGTAACCACGGTGACCAGCCTGCTTCGTCAGCCTCTGTCATCGAAGACCTCACTGTAGAACAAGCCGCCCCATTCTTGGGCTCCATGGGATCTGCTTCGCTGATCTGTTTTTCACTTTCCCGTGGGCACCTCATTCTTTCCCCTTCTGCAGCCCCTTCTAAATATAGCCGCACAGGGACCGATTTAGCCCGAGAACAAAGGGACCTCGCTGACAGCCGGTCACAAGACTGTGTAGCAGCCTGGGAGCCGCTTTCCCTCCGAAAGGTCTAGCCACAAGGTTACCGGCCCTCATGTGGCCCCTGGCCCTCACCCTGGTCCTGTGACCGTGGCCCTGGGTGCTCGGGGTGTGGGTGACAGAGTCTGGGTGGTGCCTGGGCACCTGGTTGCAGGGAGGTCAAAGAGGCTTGGGGACACCCATACCTGTCCCTGTGTCCTCAGCATGTGGCCGGCTCCCTGGGTCGATGTTCAGGGCCCAGCTGGCACCCAAGCTCTGTGTAGTCCCCACTGTGGGTCCTGTTGGTGACACTTGAACCTGCAGAGGGCAGAGGGCACGGCAGGGTCCCCATTCCCCACATGGCATATGTGTCCTTCCTGGGGTTCCTCAAGGCCATGGCCCCTGTCTGCTTTTTTTTTTTTTTGGTACCAGGGATTGAACTTGGGACCTTGTGCTTGCAAGGCAGG